TAGAGAGGTTTATAAAGTTTATTTTCAGTTTTAACATAAATTTATATAGCCTAAATAGGTAAGTCATAAATGCTCTTGAAAAGTCTTTCTTCCTTTCTTTTTTTGAGATTTGAGGATCTCAAGGCTGGCCTTGAACTCACTATGTACAGTCCAGCTGGACTAGAACTCAGGCTATCTTCCTGCCTCAGCCTCCTCCAGTGCTGAGATTACAACAGTTGACTACCACACCCTACCACACCCAGCCATTTCTTGACTACTTGATCAAAGTTTATTTCATAAAACCACCCTCCATGTCTGTATCATGTACTTCTAAAAGTTATAGTAAAAGGATTATTTTCAGACGCTATAAAAATACCATTTCTTGTTTCAACTCTACCTTAGCAGTCACTTACAATTTCTTTTTTTTTAAATTGGTGGAGGTACATGTGCATGTTTGTACCTTCTGCTTCAAAAGGCCTATTTTCTAGCGGAAATGAGAGCGTGGCACAATTCTCTGTGGAACTGCTTTGATGATCAGACACCATGATAATGAACGAAACTAAGCTCACAGACATAGACTCAGTTAGATCCTTTAACCTTTAACGAAACTGTCCTCTTAACCAGTCATCTCAAAACTATATGAAGGGCACTAAGAGTGTGAATCGTTCAACGCAAAATCATCATCACTATTACAAAAAAATTTGCAATGTGAATGAACTTGTATTATCTGGTTATGAAATACTAAAAAACACCCAAACTACCATTTGTAGTCCCCAAATTTTATATACACACACACACACAAATGGACACTTCACCTGTCTTAGTAACATATGAAAACTTAAGATTTTTAACGCTAATATTTTCTGTAAGATGTGATTTGGCATTAAGTTATACAGTAATTATATGATATCAGAATAAGCAGAAAATATCTGGAAATATGCCATAACTTTTTTTCATAACTAATCAGTTTAATCTGAAAAAGAACACTGGGAGGCAGTAAGTTTATATTAATAATTTTAAATGTAATAATTTTAAATACTTTGCCGGGTGTGATGGAGCACAACTGTAATCCCAGCATACGGGACGCAGGAGGATTGCCATGAGTTCAAGGCCAACACAGCCTACACAGTGAGAGTCCCTGTCTCAAAAACCAAAACAAACAAACAAACAAGCAAAAAAGATATATTTTACATGACTTACTTTTACTGAATATCTAAAATAAGATAAATTTTAGAATCAAGAACTTCACCAGTTATCTAACATTCAATGAGCATTTACTGAGTAAAATAACTGACACTTACACAGTGCTAGGTGCTTCCAGCTAACTCCGCTAGTTCAACTTAACTCTCTTTATAAATGACGAAGTTCTATGCTCATGCCAAATTAAGCTATCTAGATCAGAACTAAAAATGCTAAGTAAAGCCTTCACAATAGTATAATTTTCTATCAAAATAGATGAATACCACCTTCTTCTAAAACAAAAATTTCAGCCAGATGTGGTGGTGCCTGTAACCCCAGGACTTGGCATGAGGCTGAGCCATGAGGATCACTTTGAGTTTGAGGCTTGCCTGGACTACACAAGGCCAGCCTAAACTACACAGTGAGACCCTGTCTCAAAACTTAAAAAAAAAAAAAAAAAAATCAAAGATGCAGTGGTGACCTTACTTAACAAAAAGTCTGTTTTTTAGTAACTATAAAGAATTACAGCCAGGTGTGGTGGTGCACACACCTGTAATCCCAGTCTTTGGGAAGCTGAGGCAAATTCAAGGCCAGCCTGGGCTATACAGTGAGACCCTGTCTCATAAAAACCAAAAAAGAAAAAAAGAATTACAATAATGTAAAATTTAACTGTGAGTCCTTAACTAAGTATTAGTGGTGTAAGTTATCCCAAAGAACAAAACACAAGGTTACCAGAGCTGTAACATTATAAATACATCAAACAACACAAATTGAACAGAGATCATTTTTAAAAATTGCTTTGTAAGAAAATAACTCACACAGATAACTGGATTCCTAACTGCAATGTCTTTTACGTAAGAAATAATAATACACTAACAAAGTTCATGAGCAACAGAAAACACTGGCAAGATCTATAGTTATTTAGCTATGAGATTACAAATTACAACTGAATCTAAAAACTCCCTGAAGGCAGAGACCCTGTGTAATTTATCTCTGTATCCTCAACAGTTAGTACTCAGTGGTTAAATGTTGAATACAGAAGTGAGCTAAAATCAACCTAACAATCTGAAAGATCTCATTATTATGACCGAAACTATTTTTGAAGTGTTAATAGTATCCAATGGAAATTAAACTGCCATGAAATTTAGACTTAACAACTGTGCCCGTGAAAATAAGTACAATGTATGCTTTGAAGGCAATTCAGAAATATAACAAACAAGTGTATTCATATACTTTGATTCCTTTGGAAGAGAAGCCCAGGAAAATGTTCCAAAAGAAAACCAATGTTGCCGGGTGTGGTGGTGCACGCCTGTAATCCCAGCACTTGGGAGGCTGAGGTAGGAGGATCATTGTGAGTTCGAGACCAGCCTGGGCTACAAAGTGAGCTCAAGGCCAGCCTGAATTGTATAGCGAGACCCTGTCTCAAAAAGACAAAAAAAAAAAAAAAAAAAAAAAAACTAATGTTGCCTACATAAATATTAATTTCATCTTTTTTTAATGGAGAAAAGGAGGGAAACTACCTATATGCTCAACAACAGGAAAACGGAGTACTTTGAAATCAATGAAAAATATTTTAAAATGTAGATTTACTTATTAATTGATCCACTCAATTCTACTCATCTCCTCCCACCCAAGTTGACTTTCATACAGCAGCCAAAATGATGTTCACAAATTTAAATCAGAACAGACCTCTTTTCTACTCAAAACCTTCCAATGGCTGCCCATCTTATTCCAAGTAAAATTACCATGGTGTATAATATCTTAAAGTAATTCCAGCTACTTCTCTCATTTCAAACCTTCTCATTTTCCTTCCTATTTACTGTCCACCAACCACACTAAGATCTTCGCTCACAGATGGCCTAATAACCCTTTTGCCCAAGAGAACACACACCCATCATTCCTTTCAGCTGTCAGATCTTCCCTGTCAATGTCTCTAGCCCTTCAATCTGCTTCACTCTTTTGGACAGCTCTTATCACCTGACATATTCTATATTTATTTGGTCATGGCATGTCCTTTCTGATTATAGAGTATAGACTCTATGACAACAAGAACACTTTTATCCACATAGCAAGCATTCAGTAAGCACTTGTTGAATTAATATTAAATGTTGACAAGGCTATTAACTACATGAAAAACCATGCATACAGAACAAATTTGAAAAAGAAAAGGAAATCATATGATTTGTGCATATTTTTGAATGCTGATCACATTACTAAAAAGTAAATTGTACAAAAATCATAAAGCAGTCATGATTATGATTTTAAGTTGTCAAAGTAACTAAAACAATCTTGCGTCCTTCTAGAAGCCAAGGGTTAAGTATTCATGAAAGTTTTCCCTGTAAAATTGTAATAATCTCTTAAATCTCAAAGTTTAGTCTGTAAGTGTAGATGTTTTCACTCCTCAAGCCAAATAAAAAGTGAACAAAGGCTTCTAAACAGTTTTTATCTGAAGCTGAGTATTATCAGGGATTCCAGTACACTATTGGGGGAGGAGTGAGATGGGCTCACTATGCAGTTCAAGCTGGCTAAACTCACTACGCAGCCTAGGCGGGCCTCAAACTGGCAGTGATCCTCCTGCCTCTTCCTCCCAAGTGCTGACATGACAAGCATTCACCACCACACCACACCCAGTTCACTTTTTTTGGTACCAGGAATCGAACTCAAGGTCTTGCACTTGCCAGGCAGGTGCGGTGCCACGAGCTACATCCTCGGCCCAGTTCATTTTTGAAACATTGTCTAAAGTGGGCTTCAGCCGATCCCTGAAACTGAAAGCAAAATTGTGCGCACAAACGCCTGTTACTTTTTTCTGAGGACAGGGTCCACATACTTCATCATATTCTCAAGGATGTCAATGCCTAGAAAAGCTTAACAACTATCATTTCAATAATGGGAATGAAATGCAGTGTTTCTGTCCTTTTAAAAGGACAGAAGATAGGTAACACCTAGACACATCTTTGTGATCACTAAATCCAGTCAACAAATACTGAACACATACAATCCTTACTACTTTACACTTAATTATATTTGAAGTAGAATATAATTCAAAACGACAAGAAAACAAGAGCCACTGAAAGATCACACTAGATAAGAGTATCAAACTATAATTCCAAAACAGACAACGTGATGGGAAAGCACATAAAGACAAAGGAGTTGAGGCTTAACGTAGTGCTTATTCTGTCAAAATACCACACACATCAATTACACCAAAAGAAAACTGCACACAGCATGCCCACCCCCACACATTCTGACAGGAAACCCAAAGAAAGTTTCCAAATCCTGTTTCTAGCAGCGTTTCTTGTGAGGCTGCCCTTCAGCACGGTTTTGAAGGTTGGCTCCCCCGGTTAAATCCAACAGCTAACACTTTACTCTTACTGTATGAAAAACAGATTCACCTGCCACTCAAGAGACCGGAAACGGGCTACCTGGAAGGCTGCAGCCAGTGATGACCTGACCTGTCACTCCTCCCTTCAACGCAGCGAAGAAATGCTTTAACCTCCCCAAGAGAAATGTGGTACCGCACTCCTCACCGCTAGTTCTTTTTCCAAGAGGTCTAAGGTTCCCTAAACTCTGGTTTTCAACCCTGTGTGACCTCTCTTTAGGCACAACTGTCCTCCCCTCTTCTTCCTATGTAAGCGAATTACACAACCCTTAACTTCCTGAGGGGCAAGCGGCGGTCCGACCTACCCAGCACTCTCGCATGCTAGCCTGAAGGAAGGCAAGCACCACACCGTGACCTCTTTCCCAACAAAATTAAAAGCAGCAGCAGAGATCCAAGAAAAAAGCCACACCGAAAAAGCGAACGCAAGGCATGCTAGCGAAGGCACGGAGGAAGGAGGGCGGGAATGCGCTGGCAAAGGGAGTGGGATGTGCAGATCTCTGCCCGACCCGCCCGCGGAATAAAGGAAGGGAAGGGGTCCCTGAGCCCCGGCAGCAGCGCACACCGAGGAGCAACACTCCAGCCCCCAGCCTGGCCAGCAGGGGACGGGCGCGAAGACTCGCCCCGGCCTGCAGCCCCTCCTCGGAGCCCCTCGAAGGGCGAGCCGGGCTCGCGAGCGGCTCCGACCCCGGCCCGAGGGCAGCACGCGCGAAAGGCAGCGACGCGCGATCTCCTCCATCTCTCAGGCGGCAAGCGGCGAGCGCGCCGCGGCGGAGGAGCCGGGAGGGACGGGGCTGGTGCGGTGACACCTCGGAGTTGGCGGGTGGGGGACACAATGTCCTCTTTCTCGCCGCGCCCGGCCCGGCCCCTCCCG